GGGGGGGGGGGGGGAGGAGTTATTTACACTTCCGGTGAGGGGGCGGAGCTTCACCTCCAATACGTTTCTATGTACACGCATCCATGGGAGGGGGGGCGGGGCTTATGTACAGGGGGCGGGGCTTAAAAGGCATGCGGGGGGGAGCATGCGGGGGAGTGGGGCGAGGGGCAAGATGGCCGCCGAGTCACGTGAGTCCGGTCAAGATGGCTGCTGTCATGATGGGATAGATCCAAGATGGCTGCCGAGACAGGTGGGTTGATCCAAGATGGCTGCCGAGTCACGTAGGTCCAGTCAAAACGGCCGCTGTCATGATGGGATAGATCCAAGATGGCTGCCGAGACACGTGGGTTGATCCAAGATGGCCGCTGAGTCACGTGGGATGAGCCAAGATGGCTGCCAGGGTGTTCGGTGGACCCAAGATGGCTGCCGAGTCACGTGGGTGGAGCCAAGATGGCTGCGGTGGGAGAGTGGATCCAAGATGCCTGCTTGGTCACGTGGGTCCAATCAACATGGCCATGGTTGTGGCGGGGTGGATCCAAGATGGCCGCCGTGTCACGTGACACGATCCAAGATGGCCACCGTGACAATGTGGGTCGATCCAAGACGGCGCTGTGGATCCCAGGTAGCTCCTGCATCACGTGACTCGATCCAAGATGGCCGACGAGTCACGTTGGCTCATCCAAGATGGCCGGCGCGTCACATGACCGAACCAAAGACGGCCCCCATGATGATGTCTGTCCATCCAAGATGGCCGCCGAGTCACATGACTCCACCCGAGCTGCCCGCCATGATGCTGGGGACGATGCAAGATGGCCGCTGAGTCACGTGACCGAACCAAAGACAGCCGCCATGATGGCGGGGTCGATCCAAGATGGCGCCCGGCTGCCACGCTCCCAGCCTGTCCCAGGACGGTCACATGACCTTCCCAGTGCGTCACGTGACCTAAGTGTGTTCTTAGCGTGTCACGTGACCTAAGCATGTTCTTAGCATGTCATGTGACCTCAGCATGTACTTAGCGTGTCACGTGACCTAAGCACGTCAAGGAATGTCACATGACGTTGGCGTGTCCTTAGCATGTTACACGACACGACAACAGCCCAAGGAATGTCACATGACCTTCGTATGTCCTTAGCATGTTACATGACCCGACAACCCAAGGAATGTCACATGATGTTGGCGTGCCCTTAGCATGTTACATGACTCGACAACGGCCCAAGGAATGTGAGAAAGAAACCCCATGTCCTTAGTGTGTGCCGTGACGTTGGCGTGTCCTTAGCATGTTTGAGGAATGTCATACAAGAGAACCCGTGTCCTTAGCGTGTTCCATGTCGCAAGCATGTCCTTAGCACGCCCCATGACTTCGGCATGTCTGAGGAATGTCACATGATGAACCCGTGCCCTTAGCGTGTTCCATGACGCAAGCATGACCTTAGCATGTTCCCACACCTGAAGCACGCTGCATGACAGCCTCATGTCCTTAGCATGTACCACAAGCTAAGCATGTCCTTAGCATGTTCCATGACCTAAGCGTGTCCTTAGCGTGTTCCAAAGCCTGCATGACCACCAATACGACAAACCCACCGTGACGCAAGCACACCCTTAGCATGACCTTAGCATGTCCTTAGCATGTCCCACCTCACGCCACGCCGCCTCCTCGCCACGTCCTTCCCCCCCTCCCTTTTAGCGTGTCCTTAGCGTGACCTTGGCGTGTCGGAACCAGCAGGGACCGTCGACGTGTGTCCTTGGCGTGTCGTTGGCGTGTCGTTGGCATGTTGCTCAGGCGCGTTGCGGGATGGGGTGGCTGACCCTCACGCAGCCCCAGTAGCCGGCGCGCAGCAGACACGCTCCGGCCCCCGCCACCAACACGGCCCAACACGCGTGGAGAGCCCCCCAGCGACGCGCTGCTGCCCACGTCCCCACCTGCAAGACCAGTAAGGACCAGTAAGGACCAGTAGGGACCAGTAAGGACCAGTAGGGACCAGTATGGAGCAGTAAGGACCAGTAAGGACCAGTATGGAGCAGTAAGGACCAGTAGGGACCAGTAGGGACCAGTAGGGACCAGTATGGACCAGTAAGGACCAGTAGGGACCAGTATGGAGCAGTATGGACCAGTAGGGACCAGTAGGGACCAGTAGGGACCAGTATGGAGCAGTATGGACCAGTAGGGACCAGTATGGAGCAGTAAGGACCAGTAGGGACCAGTATGGAGCAGTAAGGACCACTATGGACCAATAAGGACCACTGTAGACCAGTAAGGACCAGTACGGACCAGTGTGGACCAGTATGGACCAGTAGGGACCATTATGGACCACTATAGACCACTACGGACCAGTGTGGATCCCTATAGACCACTATAGACCAGTATGGGCCAGTATGGACCGGTATGGACCATTATAGACAAGTAAGGACCAGCATGGACCAGTAAGGGCCAGTATGGACCAGTATGGACCAGTATGGACCACTGTAGACCAGTAAGGGCCAGTATGGACCACTATGGACCAGTATGGACCAGTATGGACCAATAAGGACCAGTATGGACCAATATGAACCAGTATGGATCAGTATGGACCACTGTAGATTAGTAAGGACCAGTATGGACCAGTATGGACCAATATGGACCACTATGGACCAATAAGGACCAGTAAGGACCACTGTAGACCACTAAGGACCAGTATGGACCAGTATGGACCAGTATGGACCAGTGTAGACCAATATGGACCAGTATGGACCAGTGTAGACCAATAAGGACCAGTAAGGACCACTGTAGACCAGTAAGGACCAATATGGACCAATAAGGACCAGTATGGACCAGTAAGGACCAGTATGGACCAATAAGGACCAGTATGGGCCAGTAAGGACCAGTATGGTCCATTATGGACCAGTATGGAACAAGACCAGTATGAACCACTATAGACCAATTAGGAGCATTATGGACCACTATGGACCACTGTAGACCAGTAAGGACCAGTAAGGACCAGTATGAACCAGTATGGACCAGTATGGATCAATATGGACCACTATAGATGACTAAAGACCAGTATGGACCAGTATGGACCACTATAAACCAGTAAGGACCACTATGGGCCACTATGGACCAATAAGGACCACTATGGACCAGTATGAACCAGTAAGGGCCAGTAAGGACCAATATAGACCAGTATGGACCACTATGGACCAGTGTGGACCAGTATGGAGCAGTAAGGACCACTATAGACCAATAAGGACCAGTATGGACCAGTATGGACCAATATGGACCAATAAGGACCAGTAAGAACCAGTATGGACCAGTATGGACCATTATAGACCAGTAAGGACCAGTATAGATCCCTATAGACCACTATAGACCAGTAAGGACCACTATGGGACCAGTATGGACCACTATAGACAACTAAGGACCAGTATGGACCAGTACGGGCCACTATGAACCACTATGGGCCAGTATAGACCAGTAAGGACCAGTATGGACCAGTGTGGACCACTATACACCAGTATGGAGAAGTAAGAACCAGTATGGGACCAGTAAGAACCAGTATGAACCAGTATGGACCACTATAGAGCAGTATGGACCAATAAGGACCAGTATGGACCAGTATGGAGCAGTGTGGACCAGTATGAACCAGTGTGCACCACTATACATCAGTATGGACCAGTACGAAGCAGCATGGACCACTATAGAGCAGTATGGACCAGTATGGACCATTATAAACCAGTAAGGACCAGTATAGACCACTATGGGCCACTATGAACCAGCATGGGCCAGTATGGACCAATATGGGCCACTATAGACCAGTAAGGACCAGTATGGAC